TTAATGTAATATAACTTGGTACATTAGTTCAGTCTACCATATTGCATGGAAATAATGACCTACATAAAAATTTTCAAGCTTCTAGTTTCTTGGAAGGTTAATGACAGAATCATACCCTAAGATTGAGGCATTGAATATGAAATAGAACAGAAGTTTCCTTTTTAAAGAATAACGGTAGTTTTGCCTTTGGCCCATCTTTCTTTCTCCCCATGTAAACAAAGGAGGTGAACTAAGGACATGAAGACTTGCGATTTTAAGTAGTGAAACTGGTAAAGAAAATTTATAGCATTACCTTTGTAGTTTCAATGATGGAGGAAGAAAACAATCTTTTTAGGATTTAGCTAAGAATAAAAATGTAAATGCATATTTTAATCACTGAAAAATATCTTTTAAAAAATATATCCTGTGTGCTGTTCTTTAAATACTCTCAATATTTGATCTTTCTCTTTTACCGTTAATTAACTGGCCTCTTCCAGTATATTATTTCCTTTTCATTTCTTAAGAATTTTAAAGTGGCACAAAAACTTGCGTTCTTCCACAAGTCCTAAATAATTGACTTTTGAATTCACCAGCTGTCTGACCCTTCTTTCCTAGCTAAAAATGGTTTACTTTCATAATTTTCAGCTTAAAAAGAGAGACTTATTTATAAATACCACATAATTTATTTTGCTTTCCAAGTTCCACTTCACCTTCTCTCCTTTTTCTCATTTCCTTTTACACATACAACTATGGGTGAAAGTAGAATGTGTTGAAATTCCAAATTTGAAGGTAAGGTTGACTGGGGCTCTGTTTTAAAATGTAAGATAAGATTTAATGTCAGTTGGAAGATCACAATTCATTAAGTTAGTTCCTTACAGCTTTTTACTGTTATACACATTTTCAATTTTAATAATTGCTCCTTTACATTCTGTCTTTTCTCTTTATATATGTATCCCTCTATATTAAACTTTCTGTACTGCCCAGTCCAAAATGCACATTTTATTTTGTTGTATATAAAGAAGACAAAGAGTTTGAGTTTTGTTCTTTATATAGTCTTATTATATAAAGACTATGAGAAATAAAGAATAAAAAAGAGAACTTATATTAGTATTTTCAGGTATTTTGTTTACATATGATTAACTTTTTCCTTCTTTCTTTCTAGGTTTATCCAGGATTGATGATAACAGCTGGCCTTATTCATTGGATTTTAAATACATTGAATATAACAGTTCATATAAGAGATGTATGTGTGTTTCTTGCACCAACTTTTAGCGGCCTTACATCTATATCTACTTTCCTGCTTACCAGAGAACTTTGGAACCAAGGAGCAGGACTTTTAGCTGCTTGTTTTATTGCTATTGTACCAGGTTATATATCTCGATCAGTAGCAGGATCCTTTGATAATGAAGGCATTGCTATTTTTGCACTTCAGTTCACATACTACTTGTGGGTAAGTAACAATGTTTTTTCACCATTAATATCCATGACCTTTCTGCTGAGAATACTGTAAATTGTATTGCTTAGATCCTGGAGTGAAATCTTTAGCCCCACATTTGTTGCTCATCAATTAATGGTGAGTGTAGATATCATTGCTACTGTTCACAATAGATTTAATAATTGGTAACATTTTAAAATATGTCATGCGCTGTTTTTCCCTCTTGGTCTAGTGTATGCAGAATTTAATTTCCACAGCAGTCCTGCAGTAAATACTGTTTTCCCTATTTTAGAAAACTAAACTAAACCAAACTTACTGTTAGTTCTGACTCATAGATCCTGAAAAAAAATACAATCTGTTGGTTGGTTTGTTTTAGGGAGAGAGATAAGAAAGAGTTATTTAGCAAACTTGAAATGTGGTTTCATTGGGTTGGGATTTCAAAGCGTTTCCCAAACTAGAATTATTATTGCTTTTGCTGTTACCACAATATTTAAATGTAGTTATTTTTGTCACATTTTGCATGAAAAGTGATGTTGCTTGCTGGGTTCAAATCAAAACCTGCTTGCATTCACTTATTAGTTGAACTTTTAGTTGATGTTGGTAATTTTCAGGGGGTGGATATTGCCCCAAAGTTTTATGTAAATGCTTTTTTTTCTATATTGAATTAAGTATATTTTTGGTAGATAAATGAATGGCAGCATGCTTTTTTTTCTTTTTAATAATTTTATGTATTTTAAAACATTTTAATTTGACAGGTGGATATTTTTGCTTGGCAAAGAATTCTAAAAGAGAATGTGGTCACTCACAAATGCGCTTTACACAATTGATGTGTGTATGGATTGGGATAACAGTTGTATGAGCCCCTAATAAAATGTTAAATTAAAAAAAAAAAGTGATTGCTTAATTTTGACTTTAAAAGACAGAAAGCTAAAATAAGAGAAAAGACACAACAGTTGTGACAGGAAGTTGCTGAGAAGCAGCAAGATGTTGCAAATGCTGCTGAAATCAAAATATTCGTGGAAACCTTTTATTTGTTGTGTGGAGCTGAGGGGAAAACCCTTACGCTTTTGACTGCTGTCATTCATGATGCCTTTTAAAAATAACACGTTTTCTAAATGTATTAAAATAATTGCTGTAAATATGGATAGATCTTGGCAGCATAATGCAAAATAAAAGAAATCTCATGTGAATATATCATTTACTTTTTAAACAGGTTGCTTTTAAACATAGATTTAGTTGGTTTATATGTGTTTATAATGAAATTGTAACAATGAGCTGTATACGCTTCATGATGGTGATTATTCCCAAGGATAGGAGACTAGTTGGGGTAAGCAGTATGAGTAGGGTGCTTAATTATGTCAGTAAAAAAATTATAATGCAATACATGTTGCAAATACAGCATTTATAGGTTTGATTGACAGGATTTATGACTATTAAATTATTCTCAACTGTTGTATGTGTTTTAAATCATTTTAAGGAATTTTTAAAACAGTACATCCCACATGTAGGAAATTTAGGCAGTGTAGGAAAATACACAAAAAGGGAAAAAACATAAATACTAGAAATATAGTATATAGTTTGATTTGGGAAACACTGATTTAAGCACATTGATTTTCAGAACAACTACTTGTTCTTTTTATCTTTCTATTTTTTTCTGTAGGTGTTGTCTACAAGACAACCAGACTAGTTATTTTTTGGCACCAGCAATGTTCCCCTCATCCATTTTTCTTCACTTTTGCCCATTTCTAAAGCTAATTTTCCATCTTCCAGCTCTGTATTTCCTTCAAAATATCTTGGGAATAAGAGGAGGTGCTCTAATGTTAGTTTATCTGCTGAATAATCTATAATGTAGAATATTGTTTTTTATTTTAAATTACCCAGAACTTTACAAAGTAAGATATAATTGTTGATTAAAGTATAAGTGGTTCAGAAAGGTTAGGTAATTTACTTTCTAATCACATAGAGCTAGGTTTTGAAGCAAGTATTTGTGAATTTGAAATTTAAAGGACATTTTAGAGTGTAAACTATTTGCTAGTTAAAAATGTATCTTTATTGTAATAGATTATAGCAGTCTGAGTCCATGACATTGTGGATTAAACCGTTGCTTTATCTTAAGACGTATTAGCTATGTTAAAAAAGTAAAATAATAAGGAAGCCTACTTTTTTAATGGAGAAATGTGGTTCAGCTCCCTGACAGCTGAGAAGTTCACTGGTTCCACCAGACCAAAGCTTGTCTGGAGTTGCTTGGCAAGCAGTAGACTGCTTGCCTGGTATGAGCATTGCCTAGTATGGCCATTGGCAACCTCGTATGGATGTGCAGTAGAAGGTGAGATTTAATTGGGCCAGGAGGCCTTCTGAGTATGTGGACTATGATTATTATGTCAAGGGGTACAGAAAGATTATCACCAGATCAAATGGTGCAAGGTCCCAGAGAGACCGCATTCTGGGCCAGTGACTGGTATGGGCTTCACTGTGCCCATTCCCACACAGCTTGACCTAAAAAGGCAGGAGAACCTGCTCTGCAACACTGTTCCTCTGGATCCCTCTGCTGAAAAAGCTCAACATCATGCTCACCTTAAAGGAGAACCATAGATGAATTATAAACCTCTATTGAAGGGTGCATTCAAAATCGATACACAAATTACTAACTGAAATGTAGGCGTGAGAGACTGAATGCATAGTCAGTTTCAGGCTTTTTCTGATATTTGTTTCTTCTCTAGTTTCAGCTTACTGGATACCTTACCCGTCTCTCTAAAATTCAGTTGAACTATTTCTCTTCTAGTATTCTTTCTCTTCCCTTTATCATTAGACCTATACATTTGTCTAGGGAGCCTTGGTGGTGCTGTGGTTTTGACATTGGGCTTCTAACCATAAGGCAGTATATTTCAAATCCACCAATCACTGTGCTGGAGAAAGAGATGGTTGTCTGCTTCCTGTAAAGAGTTACAGTCCTGGAATGGTATCAAAGCTTAAATTGTAAACACTAGGTTTGCAGAAGGCTATGCATGATAGTGGGCGCTCAAACTCCATTTGCAAAGTCCCCTCATGGATTAAACTGGTGAATGCCCTCTAACCTTAGTCCAGGATGTGACTAGCCTTGCTATCAGACATATAGAACATTGTAAAGTGGATGGTGGTAGATGCTCTTTTTTTTTTACTCGTTTTATTAGGGGCTCATACAACTCTTATCACAAGCCATACATACATCAATTGTGTAAAGCACATTTGTACATTCATTGCCCTCATCATT